TATTGTCGGATGGCAGCGAGCCCGGGCGCTCTATTGGAGCAAAATCGGTTCGCGAGGCGCCCGTTCGAGCTGCGGAGAAGCGGAGAAACGTCATCACCGGGACAAGTATCAAAGATACATTCCCCAACAGAATGAAGGAATTTAGCGAGAAATATCTTGAGACGCTCCTATGCGGATCGTGTATGCGGTCAAAACAGAGCCTTCACACCTCGTTCCTCACAGTGTGAGACCTCCGCCGAAAGTAAGTCCAGGCTTGACGGACGGCCAGCGTCTTAGGTCAACTTGTTCGAGAATGACGATTTCCAATGGCATTGGAACAATTCTGTGTTCTCTATCAGCAAAGTGAAACACACCGGAACTCTTAGCTTGAATGAACTGCCGGACTCGTTCGGAGTGAACTCGTTCGCTCTGCATACTAGCAGTTTGGTCTCGGAGGAGGCTCTTGAAGCGATCTCCTTAGATGGCTAGATCGAGTTTATCAGTCAGCCAGTGCTCCGAGAAATTCGGAGTCCATTGAGCCAATTATTGGAGCAATGCGTCTGTCCGGCTCCGGTGATAGGGGAAAAATCCGAGGTCGGTATGTCAACGACGACCTCATCAAGCGCTGTCTTCAGACGGAGCTCGACTCAAACGACGGTAACGGAGCACTCAACAAGATCGTAACGATGGGTGGTGAGAGCGGTGGTCAGCCATCGGACAAATAGGATTTTAATAATCTCTTGCTCAAAGAAGCTTCTCGATTTTCGTGTGGGAGAACACGACGACGACCGCTTCGGATCGCTCGAGGTCGGGTCGCTCTGGTCCTAGATCGTGGTGCGCACCACCACCAACTCGATTGACGTAGCGAAACCCGGCCCTCGGGATCGGAGTCGGCTTCCCTGCCTCGATGATTGGTCAACGGGCGACAACTATTTTCAGCGACAGCAGCAGGAAGCTTAAAAGAAGTCGGTCGAAACAATTCTCGGAAGAACTTGAGACAAGAGCAGTAGCAGAGAAGCTTCCGAAGGCGAAAGGGTCTTGGGTGAGAAATTGGTCCCTGAATCTTGAAGATCTCTGAAGCTTGAGAAAGCCTTAGGGGGGGGGGTCAACCTGCTCCACAAACTGAAAAAAGGGATCGAGGGGGCGGAAGTGCGAGTTGCCGAAGTTTGGTCAAACGAGACGTCGGCGGCTTGAGATGTTACTCTCGCGAGAATTGGAAGAGGGAAGAAGATTTCTCCCTCTAGAGGACGCAGCAGAGTGAAGTCTCCGACTTCAGACTTGTTTTCCGAGTCTTGGCTTTATTCATCTAATATCTCTTTTCCATCGCATTTGTCTTTTTTCCGACAGTTGCCACCGCCGCGCCGCCTCCGATCGTTTCCTGAAGGGGATCCAGCAACTCCTCGATTCCGGGAGGCGCTCTTAGGCCGTCGCCGAAGTCAGAGACGGCAAGCGGTGCGAAGCGCGCTTCCCCCGGCCCAGCTCTAAATGGATTCCTAGACAAAACGGATTTCGTTGCCAAGAGGAGTGAAGAAGAAGACGAGATTTGGTCCAACTTGACAGATTTGCGCCGTCCACTAAAGACAGTCACTTGCGACGGTGAGTCAATGTCCTCACTCAGTCTCTTGACGGAGTCAGTCGGATTTGTTCGAAAAACTCTGGATTATTTCAGAGCTCGCCCGTTGACAAAACGTGAATATTTTGCCACGTCACTGTCGATTCTGACGCTTTTCATTGAAGTATGCTCCCACATAAGATGACTACGTTCCGGCCCTGTGGCGTTCGGGGTAGAGGCGTCACCCCGATGGAAGCGGTTGGAACAGAATTCACGTCCACAAAGTTCACGGGAGTCCTTCGCGTCCGATCTCCAGCGCCCATCTCGAAGGAAGTAGATTCGATCCTCGACCTCTAGTTGACGTCTCCTGGACTCGAGCGGTCATCAACCCGTAATAGATCAAGTTGGAAGTGCATCTTGCCGGATTTATTTAATGCATTTCGCAGTCTGATCCGACCCAAAATATTTTTTCATCCCACTCACCTGGGAGATCGTGGTATAGATTGGATTACTCGCTGAAGGATTCCGAGCTCGTGCAGTGGCGCACCTGGGCACTCAGAAAGGCCAGAGCCCCGTCGGAGGTTTGTGCCTCGCGACAGTAGAGTATACGAGTGGGCCGCCATTTCAGGGTCCTGACCCGATCCAAAATACAATCTAGCCGGCGGAAAAATCCTGCCTACGCGAGCTGATGCGACCGTATTCTCCCCGTCCTGTAATTCTCTTCCGCGAGGGGCTCCACAGGTTTCGCCGGGGAATACTTCTCCTTTGCGTCTTCTCTCCAGCCGGTGAGATCTTCGTCGAGGATCGCCGCTCGTTTCTTCGCTCGCTCGCTCGCCAACAGTGAAGTAGAGTGCATTGTGATATATGGATTGTTTCAATTCCCTCCATTCTTCCGCCCAAAAGCGATTCCCGTGCGGTGCCATTTGTCTCGAGACAAACCAGAGATTCGATATTCGGTCTCGGAATTCCCGGACCAAGGGGACTCGCTGACGAGAACGAAAGGACATCGCGACCGGAGGAACAGGCGGGCGGAACGGCAGTCTCTCGACCGAGGCTATATGCATGAGAATCACGGGTCGAGGGAGTTCGCCTACCGACGGCGACAGTTGAAATCGAGGATTTCTTCCACCGACAAGTCGAATGACCCGATCTTCTCGAGCCAGTACCATCTGCGCGAAAACCCGAAGGGAATCCTTTGTCAGTACCTCATGCCCCATGGTCGAGCCGGGTCTGTGATCAGATGCTGTCGAAATTCTACCTGGAAAATGAGTACCGATGGAAAAGGAATGCTGGTCGAAGGGGAAAGTGACAAACCCCCCGAATCAACTTCCAGAGCAGCTCCAGTGAGAGCTTCTCCGGTGACCTGTTTCCAAACGAACTTTCAAGCGTTCAAGGAAAAATACGGTGGTAGCATGCGGTTTGCAGTTCACGAGGGACATCGAAAGAAGGGGCCGGGACCGACGGAAGTTATGCGGAGCCAAACAGAAGGGGGACACTTTCTCTCAGTCGGCTGCGCCCGGTCTTCGCTCGTTTCGTAAATACGAGTCTCTTTTCATCCTCTATCATCGTACTCCCGTAAATTCCTCCTTTGAACAAGTTCTTATTGGTGCTAGTTAGAATTCTTCGTCTGTGTACACGCTCCGCGGCTCGCGTGGATCGTGCTGCTTCTCAGCCCCATGCATCACGCAACGGCAGCTCTTCTTCTGAAAGAAAGATCTCCTCTTCAGCCGTGCAAGCTCCGAGTTTTTGTGCTCTCCCCCCCCCATATTTCCACATCGCATGTTACTCTTATCACAAACCACCGATTGAGCACGATCTTTCCTCTGAGGCGGAACTCTTCGAACCGGATTGGAATATCCAAACTTCATGCCTAGAAAACTGCTTGAAGTCAAGTGTGGTGGCGAAGGCCTCGAGGGCGAGCGCGACCTTTGTTCGAACCTACGACGAGCGTCAATGAATGATTGCACCATTCAAGTCGTGAACTAATGACTCTCCATGTTAGGAATATTATTCATGTTTCATCCACGACAAAAACCTTTGCAATGCTGTCAGAATTGGCTGTCATGATCGCGCAAAAAATGTGTTTTTCTCTGGCCGGGAAGCGGAGATCAATCAAGCCCTCCCCCCCCGTGTATATTATATACCTGATTCTCACCTTTCCGTTCAAGCACGATCGGCTCAGATACTAGCTGGATTCAGTCTCCAGATTTTCGGTTCCGGTTATTCTTCATTTTCCAAGTTCTGCTTTTGTTTCGAGAAAAAGATCACAACCCGAATCGACTGTACACAGTCTTGACTCTTCGGAAAGGTCTACGCTTCGGAGCCGGCGCCCGCGGACTCCTTGACGGGGGTCTATGGCCCACAGGCTCCACTTCGAGCCACAGTCTCGACTCTGGTCGAACCCCAGTGTACCGAGCCCTTCTCGTTCATCGACCCCTCCGAAGGACAACAGAGCTCCGCCCCCCTCCCTGCGAAACTATAATTCAACATCACGATATCCTTCGACTATATCATGGAGCCGCTCTTCACAGTACTCGGACTTCTATTGCGAGGTTTGAGTGCAAGGCGAGACTGACTCGCAGTGCCGAGATCGGAGGGGAATCGTGGGAGAACAGGGGGTTGAAAAAACTCCGGGGAGCTCCGGAATTCGGCCACCCCTCCCGGGGTCGCAAGTCGCGACCGCCGGTTGCGGAACTGCTGGAGACTCTTTGGTTGTCCTTGTAGAAGGCCGAAGCTGTTGAATATGAATACACGAGGACAAGCAAAGAAATCGGCTTCCACGCGGGAGGGGAAACGGAGAGGCTTTGACAGAGAGAAACATTCGTACAACTCGAGGCTTTATTTCACAGTGGTCTCAGACGGAGCAATAAACAAAGCGCAACATATGTTAGTGAGTGTTTTTTGTATCGATCTCTTCTCATATAAATCGCTGCGTCCCCTTCCCCCTCGGTCTCCTGGAAGCTCGGGGCCGAGAGCAATATGGGGTGAATGGGAAAGCAGAGAGAAAACAGACGGAGTTGAGGGTATGCTCTCTGTTCTTTCTTCATATCGAACAATGAATGAGTCGGATAGTTTACGTCGCGCATGCTCCGCGGCAACTGCATCGGGAGCTTTTCCTCCCAGTATAGCGGCTCGACTCCGACGTTATACGAGGCGACGGGAGCCGACCGAACGGACGGGGCGACGGACGAACAGATATGTTAACACTCCCCCTCCCCCTTCCCGCTGAGGTTGTCGTCGTCACCGTAGTTCCCCCCGTCCTCATATCGCTGTTCGCCTAGTCGACCGCCATCGCTCCCCCAAACACTCGTTCTCCTCTAGTGCGTCGAACTCGACGTCATCGGTGAGAGGTGCGACCGAGATCCGGAAATAGATGTATCAACATCGCCTCTGCCGCAAATCGTCACCGAGTCTCCGCGGCAGCCCGCTACGGATTCCGCAGGCTGCCGACCGACTATCCGCTGACGTTCTATTTACCGGCGCTGCTGTTCGGGCCTCCAAGGGATGTGAACTTTCCGCTCGTGAAAAAAGCGCTCACAATAGCCGAGTCCTTTCTCGAGTAGCCTCGCTCGCAGAGCAATCGATAGAGGCTCTGGGTGATACTTCCGAGCATAAGAGGAGCATTCGCTTCATGCGCCACCTTTTGGGCCAAATTGATGTCCTTCAGCATCAGCTCGCAAGCGAAACCATCTTCGAAATTATCCGACGAAGGTAGTCCATCGACTATTCCCTCGATGGGACAGTACGATTCGGTCGCCCAGTTCATTCCGGAGCTGAGATTCAAGACTCTGAGGAGCACCTCCGGTTTCAAACCGAGCCTGTCGGAGGAAGTTTGGGACAATTTAGATTCCCGAATCCGTTTCGCTGAATACTCAAATCTTCCGTTATGTCGGAGTTGAGCGCCTGCTCCTCATATGAGAAAATTCCCCTCCGAAGATTTCGCGGAACTTCAGTTTTTCCCATCTCTCTGGACCAGTGTTTCCCAAGTTTTTTCCGGCGCGAAACGAATTCTCACGGGGAGGTTTTCGCGAATGCCAATGGAGCGCGGCACCCGTCCGTGATTTCGATGCCTGGATGGAGAGAGACGCTTCCCTGAGACGAATAGAGACTCCTCACCTCATGCCAAGGCCCATGACCTCTGACGTTCCGACGAGGTTAATAGATGCCATGAGATTGTTGCAAAGTTTCGCAGCCCCGCCAGAACCCACCGGCCCCACGTGGAAAACTCTGCGACCCATCTGCAGGAGAATCGCCTCGGCTTGTTGCAGCGCTTCGATTGAGCCGCCTGCCATGAATGTCAGCGTGGCGGCCTTGGCTCCAGGTGTGCCTGAGAGTTCGCTGTTCCATAAAAATAGTTCTGTTTATTTTTAAATCGATAGACACCACCGAGAAGCGCAAAAACTCCTCACCGCCAGACACTGGAGCGTCGATGAACTTCACGTTGCATTTCTCACATTCGGAGGATATTCTCCTCGAAGCCGTCGGATCGATGGTGCTGCAGTCGATGAACAACTGGTCCTTCTTTGCTTCGCTGAAATACGCAGGGGGGCTTTCCGAGCTCCGACGGCATCGTTGCGCTCATGCATCCTTTGAAGAACGTTCCCGGAAATACGGTTTACGCTAAAACCTAGGTCGCTCACCTCAAAAGCCCCTTGTCACCCAGATAAGCGCTCAAACAGCTATCAGTGTTCGGAAGCATCGTGAGAATGATCTGCGCACTGAGCACATCGGTGAGGTGCTCGACGACCTGCATCTCTGCCTGCATTCGCCTCCTGGTACTTTCGTTGCTGTCGAAGCCGAGCACCGGGTTCCTCTTCGCAAGGTTAACGGCCATCGGGGCACCCATATTACCCAGTCCGACAAAACCGACTGTCGAGTACAGTCTCGCGATATTCGCCCGAAGGACACCCGGGAAGCACAAAGGATAAATCGCTCGAATGGAACCCATCTAAGTTCCGAAATGACCCTAGAGGAGCATCCGCTGAACGAAACCGTCAAAGAGTCCGTCCTTGTCTGAATCCAGTCCCTTCTCGACGCATGAGACAGGACTTGCCGTTATCTGCTACGTTTACAACAAACTGTCGTCTCGAGAGGTAAATATTTCTCGCCGAGGCGGAGGAGCGAAGATGTCGAGACAGAAATACGTTTCGGAGGCGTTTTTGAAATCCGACGCGCGTTCCCGTACTCGAGTACCCTAGGGGAAAGTCGGTCTCCCGTGTTGAGAGGAAGACCACCCTCTCTCGAATTCCGATCGCGATTGATGTACATATGTTTCCAGAAGAGAGAATGCGATTTTTGCGATTATTGTACAAATAGTCGAGAAACCTTGCTCCGAAGATCATCGAGAGATCCGTCACCGATACCGAAGCGACAAATACGCGCAATTCGAGCAGTCGAGAAGCAAGATGGAAAGGGCAGCCGTATATCGTCGACAAGCTGCTCCCGAGGACCAAGCTCGACCACGTCGCTCCCAGGAGTTCGCCGCATGGGTAGCATGAGGACTATGGGAAGAGTTCGAGTCACTCTGCTGACGACTCGGCACAACAGGGTTCGTAATTCTCAACGGGAGAATTAGTGGCATCGGTTGCCCGGGTTGCTCAGCGGCAAGCCGACTGGAGAGTGGCGCTTCTCTGTTTCGAGCGAGCAGCGGTGAGGGGCTCTTAAAAGTAAAAATATCTTTCTCTGCTGCTGCTTCCTTTCGCTGTGGAGCCACTTGCTGTGCTGCTCCTCTCGATGCGGGGACCGTTCGACCGACCGATGCTCCTTCGCTGCTGCAGGTGCCGCTGCGAGAAGGCTCGGAGAAGCTGATGCTTAATTTTTAAACACTTTTAAAGCGACCGCGGTCCCCTCGAGATGCCTCGGGAAAGATTCCGCTCAGGCTTCTTTTTCCTTCTCCTGTCTGGCGGTCGTTCCTTGCCGTCCCATTCCCGCGCAGGTTGCTCCTCGTTTTCGCCCGACTCTCCGCTTCACCTCTGGTCTCGGCGAGGATCCTTGAAGTCGTCGAGAGCAAGAAGACTTCTTCGCTTTTTTCCCTTCGCTCCGCGAGCGACGGGGTCGAAACAATTCAAAACTTACGCAGACGAGAAGATGCTACCTAAGATGCTCACCTCCGGATTTCCCCTCGTCCTCAGAACATTCCCAGCATTTTTCGGGAACGTGGAGTGGGAACTTGCTGACCTTCCATCGAATCGACGAGAACCACGACCTTGGGGAAAGGCAGCATAGTACAGAATAGTAGGGCCTCGTAGGATCAAAGTAATTCTACACTGAAGGCGGAATTTCCGTGAAACACGCTTCGTGGAGGGCCAGAACGACGCTACCCGGAGGGGTGCCTCGATTCCTGCTGACGGCGAACCATCTAGGTACTGATTGTGCTTCACGCGAGCTCGTTGGCTCCTGGAAGACTTCCTCGAACGAAATACTTGATCGGTGAGACCGGAGACTTCAAGCATTGCCTCCGCCTTTCAGCCCGAGAAGTTTCATAAGGGCCAAACTCAATCGGATGGATCTATTGTCTCATCGGCTCATCTGTCCGACTCGCCGCTGAGAGTACCGCCCCGGCTGTACGGATTCCGAACAGTGGAAAATGATCGCTGATGTGGCTTGTGGGAAAATGAGATGGTCGAGGAGCACTTGAGGAGTGGAAACTTTTCCAGAAGAAGTGTAACTTAGACTGAAAGGCATGTCTTTCTCTTCTTCTGACGGAGCTTCTTCTAATGGCCTCCGGGAAGTCGTGTAATAATTCTACGTCGCAAGTTACCAGCCTGCCCTAAATAGATTGGTTGCAAGAGGCCGTAATCTCATTTGTGAAGCTCTTAGCTATCCGCACATGGCTTACAAGTTGAACTTTTTTCTCCCTTCGATTCGCTAGTCTTCGTGGAGAGCTGCTCGCTCATCTCCAAGACTCTTCCTTCTCAGTCTTTCCCAGAGTTCTCTCTGGGCGAAATTTTCAATGTTGTTTTTCCCTCTAGCCTACCTCCTCTACGTGCCTCAGTCCACCAACTATCTCTTCTCTCCCCTCTCCTTCTCGCTCACCAAGTTTTTTTGCGATCCGCTTCCTCCCTTGAATTGCCCTCTTCCGTCTTGATGTGGCCCCATCCTCCGGCTTGCCCTCGGACGCCAAATAGATTTTCAGTTTTTCTTGATTGATTAAGTATGCCTCCAGCTTTTCCTCCACTGATTCCCGGCTTCGTTCTATTCCTCCCCCTGCACTTCCCGCTCATATTCCACCCACTGTTCCTCGCTCTCGTCCCTGTCAAGCTCGGAGAGCATTTTTAGGCAGCGAAATAAAAGTCGATCTCATTATGATCATCATCATTGCCATCAAATATTTGTCTTCTAAAAAAAACGTCACTGCTTGATGTGGCAGCGCCCGCGGTTGCATGCAGCTGAACCGAAAGTGATACGTTGTTAATTCATACCGCTGTGAGAATCGATGCTAATGAGCTGGAGAGGAGCTCAGCGGTTGGCTTGCTTTATAGAAAATCCGGATCATCTCGCATGAATGTCGGATGCTGTTCGATTCGGAACATGAGAGCTTGTCAGCGAGATCTTGATCCGGGACACGGAAAAGCTTCGAAATTTCCGCCACGAGCCGACACCTGGAACGTCATCTGACACTCAGCCTTTCGGGGTTGCTCTTCGTTCTAGGGAAATTCACTGTAGGTCTGAAGTCCCGAGTCGGAGCTGGAGATCTCAGACTATGTATACACATCGCATCACGACGGAGAAATGATAGCTAAGCATGCGGGGACCAGATCACAATTCGAGCTAAGGAAGACGGCAGCGGAGAGGGGTAGGGGCGGGCTCCCCCAAAAAAGAGGCACCGGGCAGGGATTGGAGAAAATTTCCATTTTAATTAAACATCGTCCTCCGCGGCCTTCGCTCGGTCGTTGTTCCGTTCGCGATTCCCAACTCATGCGAGCAAGGAAATAATGCAAGATAATATGGAGACGACCGTTCGCAGCGTCAGCCGCCACGCCCCGTCTCAGCCGGCCCGCTGTCGCGGATCTTTCGCTAGTCCGCTCCGGAATCAGCTAGTGTGAGCTAGCGGACTATCACTGGTCTCGCTCGGAGCTCCAACAATCTGCTCGGGAAGCCTAAAAAACAAAGGCACAAAAAAAGCTTTGGTTAGTCTCCCGGATAGGAATTAGCGATGCCTCAACAGCCACGGTTGGCGGCCACCACGACCACGAACCTACGACCAGCCAACACTAGCTCAAACCGGGTACAGCGGGGTGCGATGAAAGAGGAGTGAAGTCGGAAAAAAACGCCGACTGAGGGGGTATCTCGTTAGCGGCGGCGCTCGATCCGGCCATGTACGATCGCGGGGCACTTGCCAAAAAACCTGTCATACGAATGTACGCGAGACGCTCTCTCGTGTGCGCATATCGCACGAATTCATCTTGTGATGTTCTTCTGTTTTTCCACTTGGTGCACATCCGCGTTCCCCCCTGCCGCGCGCGCGCCCGCCCGCTCCCTGTTTGCTGTCGAACAAAACCAACTGACACTGCATATTGTGGGGAATGGAGTGGAACGATAGCGAACCGGAGTAGTGGGGTGTCCCGGCTCGAGGTGGGGTGGTGGAGAGTATGCGGCACGACGAGCTACATGATATGATAGGCACACAAACCGACACGTTTGCATAAATATAGACGCACACATGAGCATAAACACACGAACGCACGCACACTCACCCATGGTGCACTCACAAATTAGAAGATAACGGACGACGGAGCATCGAGCGCGGAAACTTGGGTCGACTCGCTAATCCTCGATGCCGCGGTCGCTGGGGTTTTATTCAAGATGACGCCAGAGTCACCACCGCCGAAACACTTGATCGCGTGTCGGTCAGATCTTACTTGTTAGTTGAGCACTCTTTCCAATGAAGGCCGCGCATTGAAGGAACCATTGTGGCCCGCGGAGCCCCCCAAGATGAACACCTACGCCGACATCATAACCATATGAATTTTCTCCGCACCCCTCAACCATTTCGGGATTCAAAATGCGGTCGACCGACGGATCGACGCCCAGCGATCCATCGTATATACGTATGGTACTCAGATTGGAAAGGTCGACCAGGCACCGTGCGGTAGGTCGCGGGTGTCCACTCCTCGGAGTTACTTTTCCGAGAACGTCTCAAAAATAAATACCGCACCATGCCATCGCCAGAGAGCTGAATCATCGGTATTTCCTGAGTGATCTCGAGCTCGCGCACCTGAACCCTCTGAATCCGTGCAGGGGAGGGACGAACGGGTTCCCTCCCTAAGACGCGACATGGATCAGAGACGTCTGAGAGATTGCGGACATTCTATTTTCGTTTTCCGGAAAGTCTTCGCATTCGGAATCGGAGCGGAACATCCTGCCTCGATTCTCATCATTATCGCATCAAATCCGTGTCCGCACGATTAAATAGACCGGTGCTTCGATATTCATGAGCTACTCCCCGCTACTCAAACACGTCAGCGTATTGAGCTCGACTCGTTCGGGATCGAGCTTCGAAGTAGGGATCGCTGTAAATCTGTGATCTCTTCTGTGAAACAATACCCGTCCGTCCCGCTATTCTAGCGAGCGGGATGCTCTCAATCGAATCGCATTGTCTTTCGCCCTCCAAAGTTCAGCTCGAGCAAGTCAGCGCGATCTCTGACTCGACTCCTTATCTTATAACACAGCTCGACAAAAAAAAACTTTTTTCGCGTTACAAAGAAAGTGAAAGCTATTTCGGGGTAAATCGGGGGCGCTGAATCCGAATTTCTTAACAGATTTTCTCCATCAGGTCTAGTTTTTCCGAAATTTCAATTTTTCGATTTTTTGCCATTTTTCGTCTTCAAAAAATTCTAGCTCCGC